ATTTGTGGAAAATGCCTAAAACGCTGTGATTCATTCATTGTTCTCTCTTGTCCTCTGTCAGATGCGAGTACTGGGAATGCTCGGCAACTCTGTGACAGGTCTGTCTGCGGCAGAAGCCATGCTTCCTCTCTCTGACAGCAGAGAGGCCATGAGCGACTACGAGCTCCTGTACTGCTTTCGACGTGATTCGAACAAAGTCCAGAACTATCTAAAGATCCTTAAGTGCAGAATTGTACCTGAGCACGACTGTTAGGAAAAAAAAACATTGGCCTTTCACCTGCACTACTGGACAGCACAAAGGACACATGCTGGTCCACAGTTTTCAAGCATGTTTGACTCAGCGCCATCAAATAAGACTTCACCAGATCCCAGTAAATAAACCTGACTTTTTGCATCTTTTTGCTTCATACTCTAGCATTTCAAACCAATTCATTGCTGTAATTATCAAAAACATGCATTTAGTAGGAGAGGGGGAAACTGTTTCGCCTTTAAAGTCAATTCATTCTTTAAAATATTTTATATGTACCAAGTGCTTACTATTTAAAATTCCACATAAGTTAAACTCCTCTGAATCATATTTTCATTTTATGTTTTCAAATGTTATCAGTGGCAAAGCAAATGTTCGCTGAATGAACTGAGCTGACAACACAAAATGACAATAAAACTGTAGATTCTTCAGCACAGATGCAATGTTTGCTGTATTTATTAAAGAATTTGAATGAATATATATATAAATATATATGTATGTGTGTGTGTGTATATATATATAATATATTTAATACAAATATATTCTGATTTCATTATCTCTTATTTTTCCGATTTCATTATATCTTTGTTATTTCACTATCGCTGTTTTGCACATTAAAAAAACAATAATGTGCTGAGCAAACATTTCACTCATGACTAATTTGGGCTGGGCAAAACTACATGTGTTTTGGGATGAATAATTATTTTCTTAAATTAAATCTGGATGGGAGTTGTGTGCGTCTCTATCTTGCCCTCTGCATGTAATGACAGGTTAATCTTCATACAGTAGGACAGAAATGCCTTCAATTACGCTGGAGTTCAGTCTCAGCCTGGGGCCAATGCTTCCGCCTGAACTTTACCATTTTACAAGATCATGTGTCACAGAATCAGGTGCGTTGTCATGTTCAAGGAGGAAAAAGCTTTAAAACAGCAGAATAGTTCTGCCTTGAAAAACTGCATTATTTGTAAAACACAGTAAAGACTACAAAAACTCAAAACTGGACTTTTTTGGCTTTTAGTCCATGTCTTTTAGTTTTAAGCTTCATATATACATAAAACTTTCAGCAGATTTTAGATTTTCTCTTCTGGGATCATTTTGTCATATAAAATGCTTTTTAATGCCATCTGCAGCTAGTAGCACATCATGGTTTGTGGCTGTGACGTAACTTATAGCCTATTGGCCAACTATAAAAAACAGCTTTTTTTATGTGCCCCACCCACATTTCAACAGAAAATACATCACACAGAGGAAATAAAAACTGCATTTGACAAGTAATTTCACTTTAAAGTGGAATTTAAAGTGAGATGCAAGATTGCTGACGTATGTGAATGATGTAAGAGTGATATAAGAAATCACTTTGAATCTAAGAATAGAAAAAAAGTAGATCAGCACATCTGGATATTGGTGTGTGAGTGTGTTTGGTGCTGAGGTAGGCCTGTGCGTGTGTATTGCGCAATGTTCTAGATGACAAACTGCTCAGGTCTTGCCTGTCTCTCAGTGACTCAGGGGTCTGTGGGTCCGAGGGCAAAACACAGCTTCCTTTTAAGGGTGACGACACTTCCTACAGTAACACAACAATACTGATGCTGTTATATTTTGTACTGATAAATTTGATTTAATATCTAGCATAATTTGAAAATAATGGTTTACTTAGTTATTCTCATAAAACTTTCAATTAAAATATCAAAATTGCAAAACCCAAATTTTAACAATAGTTAAGTTTTTATAGAGGCTATATTGCTTGACTAATTCCACTGGGGTATATGTTTTTATATATATATATATATATGTGTGTGTGTGTGTGTGTGTATATTTTATATTCATATAAAGATTTTTTTTAATGAATTAATACTTTTATCTAGCGGCAATGCATTCAATTGATCAAAAGTGACAGTAAAACATTTATAATGTCTTTGTATTTGTATTTGTATTTCTATCTAGCTATAAAATATACAACATAGTTAATTGTGAAAATATTTCACAATATAACTTACTGTATTTTTATCAGATAAAGCAAAATGTATAATAATAATAATAATAATAATAAATATATAATTTATGTATTATTCTACAAAGCTAATATTTCAAACACTCTTGGCTATTTTTCAGAATTAGAAACAGTCATTCAAGTACAGTATGTAGGTAATGTAGGAAATCTGATAATCACTACCATAGATTGCATTCCTACTTGTAGTATTGTCAGAGATAATATATGGTTATACTGAATATATGCAATTATGTAATTTACACTAACATGCAACTGAATACTTCGGCTTTCATGTCACATCAAATAAAATTATGCAACTCCAGATTGCCTGACTGTGTGGCTAGCGTGTATGACACAAACAAACCAATAATCTAGGATGACGAAAATGAAAATATAAAGGAAAATCAAGAATGTCAGAGTAATGTACAGTACAACCTATATCACACCACAGACAAGACAGCAAACAACAGTCACGGTACATTCAGGAACCATGATTATTCATTTCCTGCACGCAAGGATTGAATCATGCAGATATGTCTGATGTCATATGCGCTAATGACCCCAAAGACTTCTAACCAAGAACCTTTCACTAAACTTTTTAGGGTAGAAAAGATCTTGCATACTCATCTTTTTGCTGTTGGCTATCTGACTGTCAATCCCAGAATGCTCAGCTCTCAGATTGACTGCTCAGCTCTCAGTGGGTAACATCAGCTGCACATCAGCCATCATATCTGATTTTAGGGCATGTCCATCAAAACATAGCCCAGAATACCAGAAAACAATGATCCATTTCTGTGGCAGAGTAAAGACTGTGTAAGCATTTACTATATAAAAACAGCCCTAAACTAGAGCTTTTTCAGGTCTGATATTTATCTTTAATGCACTTATTGTTTATTACACTTAGCAGAATTGTTGAAATACAAGGTGTTTTTTTTGTTTTGTTTTTTTGCCCACAGCACCTTCTAGTGACAAATCAAATTCCTTGAAAATCTATGGCTACTGTACTACTCTAAATATTGCTGAAGCAAATAGTACAGTATGCATATACTATTGCATGCATAGAATATCAGGATGACTTATTTGTTAACATGCAGAACAATCCTTGAGCTAAACTTGACCTTCCATTTGCCGTTTGAGGGATGATGGTCATAATATCGTGCGAAGAATTCATGTGACAAACATGTAAGGTCAGATGACAACAAATACTTTTTTGTACAATGTTTTCAGTTACACTTACTTTTTAAATAACAGGGCAGAAAACAGTATATACAGTGGGGCAAAAAAGTATTTAGTCAGCCACTAATTGTGCAAGTTCTCCCACTTAAAAAGATGAGAGAGGCCTGTAATTTTCATCATAGGTATACCTCAACTATGAGAGACAAAATGAGAAAACTAAATCCAGAAAATCACACTGTAGGATTTTTAAAGAATTTATTTGCAAATTATGGTGGAAAATAAGTATTTGGTCAATAACAAAATTTCATCTCAATACTTTGTTATATACCCTTTGTTGGCAATGACAGAGGTCAAACGTTTTCTGTAAGTCTTCACAAGGTTTTCACACACTGTTGCTGGTATTTTGGCCCATTCCTCCATGCAGATCTCTGAATTGTTGCATACTGAACGTTTTGCCAAATGTGAGTATTCAGTATAGGCTACATCAGAAACAGAATGAGTGGTATATCGTTATCATCAAAACATTTTACCCTATTTTAGTGATACTTTAAGTTCTCCATATGGTGGCAGTACGTCCCAATGATCCCAGTATATGACAGCCGCAGAAATATGGTGCTGTTGCTAGAGGGCGCTGTTGAGTCATATTTTGCTCACTGTGCGTAATGTTTGCTACTGTCCTGAGAGCTACCAAAGTTTAGGATCACAAAGCAAACAAAAACAAGCCAAGTGGATTTCAAGGGTGAAAAAACCCAGAGATTCTTCATTAGAAAAGCCATTACTGCACCTGCCCAATGCAGTACACAAAATATCTGCACAAAGAGCTTGCTAACATTGAAATAAATATAGCAGCCTACAATGTGCTTAAAGTTCATTAATGTATTTTATTCGTTTGTTTGTTTGGGCTATTTATTTATGCTATATTTTTTCTTTGTGTATTTATGCAAAGAATCCATTATTTGTTTGTTGGTTTAAAAAATCCATTAGATTATATTATTAAGAATTGGGCTGCACTCTATGATTTGTTTTTTAAGTCTATAAAAAAACTGTGCTTTATTAATAATAATAATTTGCTTTGACGCTTAGCCTACTCTTTTTGGTTCACTTTCGTTTTTTTTCCCCACTTCACCTTATATTCCATGTTGTCTATTTTTGTACTTTAGCACTTAAATACTTAAAATACCTAAATACTTTCATGTCAATATCAAGCTTTTAATAGAGATAAGCAATACTGTTGCGCTACTCAGTTGAATCATATTTTGAATTACTGTTATATTGTAATCATTTTAACTATACATTGCTGCAAAACACATGCATATTACATGCAACTGGAAATGCTTTAGTCCAAGAAATGTACAATTATTCGTCATGCCAATAAAGCACATTAAATTGAAGAATAATTGAGAGTGTGTGATGAAGGGAAAGCACTGACCAAACCTAATAAAATACAATTATGTGTTCTCCATTACGCCATTATGCCATTATTCCATTAGGAGAGAGAGAGAGACCTGCACTTATAACTCCGCCTCCGGCTTCATCCAGGCTGCATTCTTTATTCCTGTAGTCTTTACTCTGGAGAAAAGGGAAGAGAAGGGGAGGAGGAACCCGCGCCGGTAGTGGGATGGACGGGTAAACATGGAGTCGCGCATATTTGAGCTGCCAGAGGCGAGACGAGCACTTCACCGATGAATGACTGACGGGTCGCTGTTCTCAGACGCCCCCTGCAAATCCCAGACCCCATTCATTAGATTAACTAACGACTGAACACCGAGTTCGGCTGAGCACCGATTTTAAGATTTATCGAGCATCCGGACACATCGCTGAGGAAACCATGGAGACGGAATCATCCCAGTTAGCGAGTAACGGAACGAATGAAAGTGAGCCTCTACCGGTGGACTATCCCGGAGGAGAGATGCTAGCCTCTCTTGGTGTACGAAGAGGCTCCAGCGTGAAGAAACATCACCACAAACACAACCTGAAGCACCGCTACGAGCTGCTCGAAACCCTCGGGAGAGGAACATATGGAAAAGTGAAGAAAGCCATAGAGAGGCACACTGGACGAGCGGTGAGTTGACCAACATGCAATGACCCAAAAATTGCTCTTTCAAAGCTCAAGAGATCTTATGAAGTTCTTAGATAGGCATCAAATGAGTTGCATGAACCAACCAGTTCATTTGATTTTGGAAGAATTAACTGAGTTTTGCATCTTGTCAAATCTGAGCTGCGTGTTGAAGTTTTTTTTTTAAATGTAGTGTTTTTTCCCCATCACTCTTAGAAATAAAGGTTCCAAATGGGGATTTTCACAGTGATGCCACAGAAGAACCATTTTTCCTCCCCAAAGAATTTTTTGTTAGTGTGAAGAACATGTTAATAATCTCACTATAAAGATCCTTTTGTGAAATTGAACGGTTCCATGGATGTTAAAAGTTATTTGTGGAACCATGAATGTCATTAAAAAAAAACTTTATTTTTAAGAGTGATCATGGAAAAGCAGAAGACAAGATTGAACAGGATTGAACAGAGATATTAAAGAGATCTCGTTTGTGATTATCCTTTCATATGGGAGATGTTGTGTGGGTTTCACTTGATATCAGTTGACCTAATTAAACATTCCTTTGAAACTTTGGTGAAAGTAAATATGCCCTTAATGGCCATCATTACATGCACAATTTCACAGGGCAAGTGCTGTCTTCCGTCCCTCAGTAACAGGGGTCAGCTCATTTAGGTCATCTAGAAGTTGAGCAGGTCAAAGGTTTCAAAGCATGAGAGGTATGTTTATGTCGCAAGTAACCTAAGCTCCTTTACGTATCGCTTTGGCCTCGCCACCATTGCTAAGAAATGCACAACATCTGTAGAGCAAGATAAGTTGGAAAACCTAGGATAAACCACTTCTGTTTTGGAACTAGGTCAGTGCATTAATCCCGAGACAGATCTGCATCTTGAGTGGGGCAGATATGGACCTAGTGGGTCAGAGCTGTGGGCGAAAAATGTGGCCTGATGTCAACAGCTGCTTGAGCGCAGGATGCTCTCAGAGTCACGTCCGGGACTTGGTAACCTAATAACGGAAAACACTTACGAGCATTTCCTCAGAATTTACACCATCCGACTAAACAGAAACATTAGACAGTGTGGTTCTGTGGAGACCAACACAACTGTTTGTGTTTTCAGTGTTGATGACCAAGGGTGCAGACAAACTCAAGTGTTTGTATGGTGATGACTTTGGCACCAGTAAAGAATGTTCCAGCATATGCATTTAAAAGCTTTCCCTGCCAACACATGTGAGTGAGCTTTAGTTATTTGCTTTGTTATTTAAATGGGGGGTTTGGTGATGGAAAAAAGACAGGTAGACATTGTGGACTGGGGCAGATGATAAAGTAGCAAGTACGAACTGAAAAAATGTTGAAGTCGCAGTCCATGCTCATTGTCTGAATGGACCAATGGCTGAAGGAATGCATGACTCATGCTAGTAGCAAAGGAAAGAATTCATAACTTTGTGGGATGAGTTAAACCAGAACATATATATTGACTGTTTGATCGTGTAGTCTTGGCTTAGCCTTAGCCTCTTTAGCATTTTTATAGTCATTTTAGGGGTTTAGGAGTTACATTGTAATGGCAATTAAAGGGGTCATATAATGCGATTTCAAGTTTTCCTTTCTCTTTGGAGTGTTACAAGCTGTTCGTGAATAGATAAGATCCCTAAAGTTGCAAACACTAAAGTCTCAAACCCAAAGAGATATTCTTTATAAAAGTTAAGGCTCGCCAACACACTCCTAAAACGGCTCGGGACACGGCATCACAGTATGGTAAGGGGCGTAACATTTCCGTGTTAACATTAACGCACTGGATAGCTGGCCAATCAGCGTACACCTTGCTTTTCAGACCAATGAGCTTTGTAAAAATCTACGCATTTCAGAAAGGCGGGGCATAGAGAAGAAACAATAATGTACAGTATGTAAAAAAATTATGTTTTTTTTAACCTTAAACCGCATAAACACATTTCATTACACCAAATACACAAAATAATGTTTTTTTTAGCAACATCATATGACCCCTTTAAGTAAAATTGGATATTGGAAGCATTTTTTTCACACTAAAATAATTTTTACAAGCATATTGTTTACATCTTATGGCTATACTATTGAAACAGTATTTTAGTGTTTATGGATTGCATGCTCCATTTATTTAAAATAATTTTTTCAACAAGGGTTGTGTTGAATTTCTTTTTTTTAAGGACACTGACAGTATACGCTGCGTATACTAACGTAACGCTACGACATAGAAAGATGGAAAAGGCAGAGGAAGTTGCAAAGAAACAACAAATGCCAATGACTGGCTTTCTTTTTTTGCACCATCATTGTGTTCAATTTTCTATGATGCATTTTTCCAAAACTTTGTTCCGCACGAGTGCTCCGGTGAGTAAAGGTGCTCCCTTTTCCCCCTTAAACGGCGGACAGGTAAAACAACACAGCTGTTGTGTGAGGCTCAGACAATAGGCTGGTCTATGTCTAGGAGACAATAAGAAGGCTTCAGTTTTAGCCAGGGGTTAGAGAAGAGCAAAGCCTACAGCCAGCTGGCAAAGGCATCAAACACAGGTTGGCTTAATGCTCTGTAGCCACAGGCTAGGTAACAATACCGCTCATCCATGTACGCTTCCTTCAGCGAGGTCAAAAAATTACCTGCGTGGCCATCTGCTGCGATGCAATTTTAATGAGTTTATGCTTTCACTGTAATTAGGGTAAAGTTTGAGACGATAAGATATTATATCACATTGAGGTCCTAAAGTGGCTCTTAACACATGCAATCACACTCGTTCTGGCTCTAACTTAAAGCCTTTTTAAAACCATCCACCAGCCTAGTGACAAACACCAGACTGTAACCAGACAGATCATATCCAAGTGGCGCATTAAAAAATACATTTATCACAAGCGCTGTACTATGAGTCTTACATAAGTCACTGAAGTCACTGAACTGAAAGCTGTAACATGCAATGCATGCATTGTAGATGTCATCTGACAAGAAAACAATACATTGCATGAACACCATTTTGCCCCTAAAAGGCTTGGGTTGGCAGGGTTGTGAACTGCACTGGGTGGACAGGAAGTCAGCTCTGTCAGCGCCACTTCCCCTTCTTCGTGTTTTATGAGTCAGTGGAGGAACATGCTGCAAACTTCCTGCAACTTTAATCCCTCCTCATGACCACTCAGACTTGGCCAGGCAGAAATCTTCTCAGCTCTATATAAAGCATAAGACTTTAAGATATTGAGTAAATTACTTTAGCCACTAAAACTAAAACATTTATGCTCGAGATAACATTGCATTATTAAAAAAATATGTAAAAATAAAAAAGAGGTTCTTTGAAAGCAGGCCTTTGAGCGCTGACACATCTCTGTGATAGAGCCTGTTTGGGAGCTGGTAAATGGGACGTTTAAAAATAACTCCTGTGGTGCGCCTTCTCCCAAAAAAAAGCCATTCACCTTCACAGAAACCCATTTTCGCTCAAGGTTAAGCCGTTAAAGTCCAGATCTAGACCGTCATTGCCTTTAGCTTACAAAAAACATCTCTTCAGAACTTTGAAAAAGAAAAAGAAAAAAAAGTACTGAAATAAAGTTGAATGCTTTCTATTGGGAATAAAATAATGTATATGATTTATGCATCTTTTAAATGACTATCTACATAGTTCATAATAATTAAAGCATATTATCACCATAGAATATCATATTACATTATTTTTACTGTATTTTATCACACTATTTTAAAGATGCTGTTATTTTTATTATAAAAAAGACAGTATTGTAGTTTTTGTTAATATTTTAAATTCAATTTTATTTTAGTTTTTACAATTTTGTCTTTTTTTTGTCATTTTTTTTGCATAGGTCTATATAGATTTTAGTTTATTTTAGTACTTCAAGTTAAACTAAATGAAATTATAAATGTTGGCGCAGCAACTATCTGAAATAAAATAAGAATATATATAATTATATAATAATATTTATTCTATTTTATTTTAATTCATGTAATGAAAACTTTTTTTGTGGTATTTTAGTTTTAGTTAACTGTTATAACCCAAGTCCATGTTTTAACCCGCTATATTAAACTGCTCTGCAGGTTAAATAAAAAGAGTGCTACTACTACTAGATTTGTTAGTTCAGCAAATTTGTGGGTCACCTGACCGCCTAAGATAGGACGTTCTTGACACCATAAAAGGGAGTAGGCTCTTCTGTTTCTATGATCTATGACCCCTGAGCCAGGATGCCACTGGAACACAAATATCATCAATCAGAGTTTTTTAACCTTTGACCCTCATCTTCATCAATACATCAAACTGAAAAATTGCTACTAAACCAGGAATCCATCAATATTTTCTAGTTTCTCCAATCAAAAGAATCACTAATAATACTTTGCCAAAACGCTAACGTGCTATAAATAGGATTCACATAGTTGATTCTACTTGTTTGTTGGTTCTCAGGTAGCGATTAAATCCATCCGAAAGGAGAAGATTAAAGATGAACAAGACATGGTGCACATCCGCAGAGAGATCGAGATCATGTCTTCTCTCCGCCATCCACACATCATCTCTATATACGAAGGTAGGTCTTTTTCTCACTGCTAGCCGTAAAACACTGTCACTGAGACACCACAACTCCACTTAATGTATTCAGAAACTGAGCACACATCAAAAGTCTACAAACCCCTTCAACTTTGATTCTCAACATGTGTAAACTCCACACCCTTTGCTGCCGCGTGTAGTTTTTCTCAACATCCAATCATCTTTAGATCAGTTGCCCTCACATTTTATTTATGCAATCTGACCGCACCCTGCTAGCCCAAGGGTATTGATCAGGCAACAACGTTGTTGGGGGTGTAAACTCTCAAATGGAGATGAAGCAAATGCATTGAAGTCATTACAGTCCTGCCGCAATCAGCATGTTTGAAATGTCCCACGCATGTAGCTTTGCCTCTCAGAACATAAATCAAAAACCCACCAAATTAGGCCCCGAATGCAGCGATACTCAAAACAAAGCTGCTTTATCTCCACGCTGACAGAGGGAGACGCCACGGCTGTGGACTCATGCCGCGATCTCAGCCAGGGGTCATTATTACTGACCCTGGATCGGTCTGAGAGTCGGTGCCAAAACGGAGAGCGCTCAGTCTCCTGTGTCTAATACGGATTAGCCGAGAGAGGTAATTACTCAGTGCTAGCTTCTAGCACTGGTTTGGATGTCTTGAACGTGAACTTAACTGGTTTTCGAAGGTTATTCCAACAAGCTTGGTTAGTCCAAGATAGTCAGCAGGTGTCCAAATACACATGCTGTTAAGAGTGACACCAAGAGAGTCAAAGAAAACCCACATTTATTGTCTATTTGGTCCACTGACCATCACTGTGACAACCAGCCTCTGGGCGGTAAACAATGAAGGGTCACTATAGAGATGCTCCTGCTGTATCAGCAGAAGGTGGAGGAGGATCTGAATGGAGCAACAGCTTCACTCCCCTGCAAAATAAAAACAAAGATTTGCTGAGATCCCATTTTTTCCATCGAGATTTGCAAGATAAACCCTTCTCTGATTGGCTTAAATGATGGCAATTAATCTAAGAGCTGCTACTAAGAATACTGTGTTGTGCAAACATGTACCTTTTCTTAGAACGGGAATGTTTACGCCACCATCCAAGATCATGTACACCAAATCTCGCTTCCTCTCTGCACTTAACACCTGTTAACAGTTGTGGTCTTGCTTGCAAAGACAGCTCCTAATCGCCATGACCCTGACTAAAGCCAGACTCGCTGGCGATTTTGACTCCTACATACTGGCAACGGCCCAACGAAAGCTTGAGCCAAACTGTTAACAGTCAGTGACAGAGAGATTTAGCTAGAGAGCCGGATATAATGGAAATATCGCTTTAACAAGCAAAGGCCTATAATGCAATGATGTTGAGTAATCTAATCAAGCGCTGTTGCATTTGCTTCTATTCACAGTGTTCGAGAATAAGGATAAGATTGTGATCGTGATGGAATATGCCAGTAAGGGCGAGCTGTACGATTACATCAGCGAGCGCCGAAGGCTCAGCGAAAGAGAGACCAGACACTTCTTCAGACAGATTGTCTCTGCTGTTCATTTCTGCCACAAGGTGAGGGTGGAGCTGGTGGAGCCGTGCGGTGAGATAAATTAAAAACTAATTTACTGACCTTCATATCATTCTAAACCTGTATGACCTTTTCTACTGGGAAACACAAAAGAAGATTATTCTGAAAATTGAGGGTTTTTTGGTCCATACAATGAAAGGCGTTATTTTGGACCCCATTGACTTGCATTATATAGACAAACAGTACTGAATAACTTTGTGTGTGTGTGTTCCATTAAAAAAAGTCATAAAGGTCATACAGCTTTAAAATTACATGAGGGTGAGTAAATGACAGTAGACGTGTCATTTTTGGTTGGACTATATATTCATATAGAAGATATGTTAGCAGAGAGCAAACTGAAGTGCATATGCAAAATGTATGATCTTTCAAACTAGGTGAAAAACTGAAGACAAAGGTTTTCTGTATTATGGAAGAGCAAGAAATAATAAAACAACTAGTTTCAGCCGTGGATGATAATCAGATGATACTGTAAATCTTATATTCTCCATTTAGTGTATTTGGACACAAAAGTAAATTTTAGTTTTAAATTTTTACTTAAATTATTATTTTAAAAAAAGTGTCCTTTATACTTATGTAATAACTGTTTGGCGAAAGAAAAAAGAAAAAAACAAAGCCAGTTTGCGGTCTTATCTGGTCTAAGCTGTTTTTTTTTGGTTGGTTTTAGAGGAATAGAGCTGCTAAACATTAGCTTGGCCAGCCTAGCCAGACCAATTTGGGCAGGTTTGGGGACTAGCTTTAACCAGGCAAACTAACTTAAACTGGTTTTCAGCTGGAATATTGTAAAAATAGGCTCTATTGCATTTCTTGCCTTTAACCTTATGCAGCTAAGGTGCTTTAGCCTTTAACCATGAATACAATTACATTATAGCACAGCGTCTCGTACCTTAAAGCCTCTCAAACTAAACAACTGACATCTGTGATCTGTGCAATGTTCACGTGCAGCCAATAAAATGATTTACTACATGAAGGAGGACTTGACATGATATGAGAAGGATAAACTTCCAAGAACGTCTCGATGTGAAAGGTTGTGGAGCCAGAGAGCAGCTGTGCTCTTCTGTCCTGGTGCCAAACCCCTCCTCCTCATCTCCCATTTTTCCCACTTTCCGAATGAGATATACTTCAAATTGACTTTTCGCATTGATCCAGCACATATTTATTCATTGTTTTCCCTTTTATTTCACATTTTAGAGCATATTTTTCTAGTTTTATAAAGATTAAGGGTAGGATTAAAGCAGAATATCCCGTTCCTGGATCAGTACAAAGGGTCAGCCGGTACCCGGGGCCGTGTCAGCTGGAAAATGAAACGCCCTGGGGGAATTCAGCCTGGGCTTGGCCTTTGTTTCTATACAGCTGGGCTGATGATGTCATCAACTCAGCTGGGGGATTCCAAGGAGATCGTCCCGGAAAGGAGGGAGGAGATACACAGATCAGGCCATTTGACAGTGGATGAAGGGAAATGTCACTTTTCCCTTCCATAAAATATTGCTGTCTTTAAAGAATAACAGTGTATTTATTGATCATTACAGTGTTTTGTAGGACATCAAATATGACAAAACTAGGTGGCAGCATAAAAAGTGATGTTCCTATGATGTCTGTAAGTTGATCTAAAAACTATGGCTTTGATGATGTCTTACAGAACGGAGTAGTACACCGAGATCTCAAGCTGGAAAACATCCTCCTGGATGACAATGGTAACATTAAGGTATGTCCTGATTTTCCTTGAGTGATTTATTACTCAATATCAGCCTGTTCTGACTAGTTTTTTTCTTCCAGATTGCAGATTTTGGTTTGTCCAACCTCTACCACAAGGACAAGCTTCTTCAAACTTTCTGCGGCAGCCCTCTGTACGCCTCCCCTGAGATTGTGAACGGACGACCGTATAGAGGCCCGGAGGTACGTTATGAACTAATATTCTCCAGTTATGCAACCCTACATTGCCATTTAAGAGGCCTTCATTTTTCCTTCTTTAAAAAATGTGGGCTAGGAAACACAATCACATACTTCCTGTCTCGAAATGATAAGAGAGAACAAAACACAGATAACAAAGAGAAAGAGAAAGCGTTTCCACTCATATCTGAGGGAGGTGAGACCACCCCTCATTCCACATCCAAGCTCAGTCACTCCCCACAGGAATCAGGCCAAGTCAGTCAGCGTACCCAACATCCTCCATAATCCAATGAGAAACAAAGACTTTGCCAAAAAGAATGAGGACTAATCTCAAAGCTATTTTCAGGATATCAAGCATTCTTATAGACCCTTCATGGTTGCTAATATTTAATAGCCAAACACTAAGCCTGTCTGGAACACAGGAATATTATCAAAATTCCCATACTTTTTCCGGTTTTTATTGTACAATGATACATGCAAGACTCTAAAAGCCTCTGGACATTCAATCATACACACTCACAATGATCCCCCTGGTCCCTCAATCATCCTTACATAACTGGAGACCATGGGAAAGGCAGCGTTCATCTTCTTGCTGGTCAGAGATCAGTGGATCTGCGCCAACAATAACAGAGCTCTTCACATCTACTCAGGGTCAGACAGGTCTGGAGCTCGGGGAGTGGACGTTTCCTGCGCTGTAATCAGCCATTGTTTCCCCTCGATACCTCCTCATTCCTGACCTGCACCCTTGGCTAATCAGCAGAGGTGCAGCAGGGTCAGACGAGGTCGGCAAGAGAAATGATTAAATAACGAGCAGGAATTATGATGGCTGTTACTGCACAGATATATGTGAGATTACCTATTGTTCTCATACATTAGGTGTACAATGACAGCTTGATTAAATGTTCATAAATATAGGTGGAGTTGACTTTGTGGCCCAGGCAGGAAAATAAAATAACACAACATTTTAATCTATTGCTAAATGTCGGCAAGTGTTTACCGGCACATGTTCAACTAGTACAAAGGTTAGCCAGTCTGTGAAGTTGTTAAATATGTGAAAAATTGTATCATCATGTTGATAATTTAACTATTTTAAATAAAAGTTACTGTTGATGAAAAATTACTAAAAAGATAAATGGCATATGTTTTTGAAAAAATGTATAAAGAAATGTAAATATATAAATATACATTTTATAATATATAAATATAATAAATCAATGTGTAATATACTCATTTATTTCATTATGTATTTTATAATTTTATTAATTTTATTAATTGTTAGTACATTATGAATATCATCATTTAAATTAATAATGCACTAAACATTGCATTTATATAAATGTAATGTTATATAAAATACAATATATACATTTTGTAATTATATATTTTAAATATAAAAATTGATATACATTTACACCTTAACTTTTAATATATTACAAATATGTATTATATAATATTTTGTTTTGTGTAATTTCACGTAACTCATAAACTAAAATAGTACTTTAAAACTGTATCATAGTTTGACTAAAACTGGCAAATTAATCAATATTATTAAATTTAAAGGATATTTTCATTGCATTTCAAATGCAATTTTCATTTTAAATGTTCCATAAACCATTTTCCTAAACTGTATCTCCCAGTGGACCAATTTATCAGTGTGGTGTTGTTTTGACAGGTTGACAGTTGGGCGCTGGGCGTATTACTATACACTCTTGTGTACGGAACAATGCCCTTCGATGGAGGAGACCACCAAAGACTCATTCGCCAGATCAGCAACGGAGAATACAGAGAACCGCCACAGTCATCAGGTATGTCTCTTCTCACTAGACATTTCTAAGTCATCTAAGCCTAAATCTCAGTTACCTGATCGAGTTCAAATCTCTCCATCTCATTCAGACGCTCGTGGTTTGATCCGCTGGATGTTGATGGTTAATCCAGATCGCAGGGCTACAGTTGAGGACATTGCAAATCACTGGTGGGTGAACTGGGGCTGGAAGACCAGCGTGTGCGACTGCCAAACGCAAAGGGAGAACAGCTCACCCATGCTGGCCCGCTTCATTGACTGGCAGAACCGCACCGAGGTCCGTCCAGGCAAAGCTCAATGCCCAGAGCCTGGTAACACTAACAATGGCACTAATACAGCCTTGACTCCAGCCCGGCGTTTGAGAAAGTCCACGAAGGAGAACGATGGTGGGATGTGGGGTGTTGCAGAGGAGAAGCCAGGCCTCAAGAGACCAAAGAGCATCCTGAAGACTCGGGCGACCAGTGGAGACCAGCGATCCCAGAGTCTATGCGAAGTAGAGCTCAGACGGTCCATTTGCTACCAAGACGTCGAGTCCGGCTCGAGTCCAGAGCGAGAAGACACCCTGGGTGGCTCGCCAGCCAAAATGGTGTCCATGTTACCAAAGAAAGGCATTCTGAAAAACAATCAGCAGCGCGAGTCTGGGTATTACTCCTCGCCGGAGCACAGCGAATCCTCCGAACTGTTAGGGGGCGCTACTGTGCAGCCTCCGAATAGCTCCCCACCCAAACGGACTGTCGGGAGGAAAGGTATACTGAAGCGTAACGGGAAATATTCTACACACAGTGCCGTGGCAGTCCATGGTGAGGCCCAGGCTGACTCAAATGGTTCGCGGAGCCAGAGCAGACCCTCCAGCATCTTGTACGAGGAGACGGGTCTTTCCAGCATGGGGTTGGACTGGCCGCCCGCCTCTCCGAAACCCAATATCCGGGGCTCGCTGTCGGCCGAAGACTTGCTGCAGATGGCTGGGTTCAGGGGCCTTCAGACCGTGGCACCCCTTCCCAGTGGAAAGGGTGTCCGCAGCCCTCCTGGTTCCCCTGGAGACAATGGGAGCTTCTCCTTGCTGGGCGATCTGGATGATGTTACCCAGGTGTACCAGAAAGCCCTGGACATCAGCAGCCATCTAGGCTAGACTTAGAGAAAAAGGCGGAGAGACTGGAAGAGTGAATGATTCCCAGCTTGTCCTTCTCATCACAGTGCTGCTGGGTAAATGTTTACAGGTCGAGAAGCGGGACATTTCAAATCTCCATTCACCAACTCGCGTTGATGAGCATTTCTCGTGATATTCTCGTTTTAGACTCGACAGTCGAGGGGGAACAACGGAAGCACTTTAAAGCGGCTGTTCTCCAAGATGCAGCACGTAATGACAGCTGGAATTGTGTTATTTAAGTTACTGTATTTATCTGTCATTCATGGTTTGGACATTTTGAAAACACCAAGGCAATTTCATAGTTTATGGGAGAGTGGTTTCATCGATACAGTTCATGCATTATGAAAAGTGTTAGATAAAGGCCATTTGAACATCTGTATAATAAATTCGTATCGTATAATACCAGCAATTTCAGTGATGTACATGCACAGCAGTACATCAGTAATGCTAAGACTTAACAGAATGTTTTCGAGAATTAGAAAAGACGTAGGGTTATTATACAAAAAAATAAGAGCATTTTGTCTTTATTAGGCTATCTTTTGTAAACTGTTTTGACTACACTTACAGAAAAGTACCAAAAGGTACTAGAGTACCACCATGTTTTTTTTTTTTAAATGTATCATGGTACTACCATGGTATTGTTGGGAAAAATGCTAATTTATTATTATTTTATATATATATATATAAAAAAAATATCAGTTAACTTTGGCAGCCCTAAAATACAAAATAAAATGACTACCAATTAACTAAAAAAATTTTTTTTTAAAACACGGGGAAATTTTTTTTAAATTAAACAAATGTGAAAATTCTAAATACAATGAAATTCCAAGTTCTAATAACTCTGCCTTGGAGTATAATGTTTATTTCAGCATGTACTATGGTATATATCAAAGTGTGGTGATATTACCTTCACTGTACCATGGTACTTTTTTTTGTAAGGGAAGTAATAAGATGTTATAAAGGGTACCAACAATACACTGAGAGGATATCATGATCCCAGAGCTCATTTTAACCTGTTGTGACAGAGACAGAGCCATGCAAATTTTGACATATCTCTGAGATCAGCTAGAGAGCAACTAGTGCAACACAAAGCACAGGAAAGGTCAAAGGGCAAAGGTTGTATCAGTGTTATGATACCATACATTCTCTCTCACACAGACACGCACACACAATGCTAGTGCACACGGGCAATTATATGAGCTCCCTGAAGCATGACAGTGTGGAAAGACAAGCTTTGACCTACGGTGTAATTCTGGTCCAGAAATGACCCATGTTTCAACAGCACATGGCTTTAAAGACAGGAAAGAGATGCCAAACTATTCTTTTCACAAGGTGGAGTGTTAAAAGACACATATTCTTAAGGCAGTAGATTATGAAAACAAAGATTAAGATTGAAAAGGTTTCACTTAAAAAATGGGAATCAAAAGGTCAAGTCTCGAACTGTAAAATCGTCAGGAAGTGGTAAATATTGTGCATGTGCAATTGTTTTATTGTTCAACATACAATGGCATGTCAAGATGAAATGAAGATACTATGCCATTTCTTGTTACATTCTGTTCATTTTTAGTTGTTCCTCTAGTTTAATTTCCTAAATTGCTCACACAGGCTTTCAAAACATTGGTTGCATGAGGCATTTTTAGTGTGGGTTAAGCGTGATCTATAATAGTCTAGCTTTAAAATCTGCGTTAAGATATACATTACAAGGCATTTCTGTCAACCTAATGTGGCAGTTTTATATGAAGTACAGTGTAACCATTGAAATATATATAAGAAATTAACTGGAAAAAGAATGTTTATCCTGTAGGATATCTGTTATAGTTCATTGAGAAAACTTGACTGGATATACTACATATTTAAATTGTGTTATTTAATGCATCTTGTATTATATTCTGTACGTTGCCATGGCTATTTGTTACTTTGTACATTTTATTTTTAAACTCTGACTTACGATTGTCTTGATTTGTGCCTTCATTGACATAAGATTGTCCTGATAATGTTAATGTTATTCTCAGTTTAAATAATTTGCAGTATTGTGTAAGTGTTTTTAAATAGGCATGCATGGAAAAGAAGTTTGTCTGTATGGTTTGTTATGAGCACAGTTAGGTGGTGTATTAAACCTTGTGCTGTTTGTGCTCAGTGCAAAACATTGTCACTTCTTTTAATAAATGTCTCGATCTAAATAAGACGTGTGTGTGTGTGTGTCTCCACTCATTCCATTAAATGTAGAACACAAAGTACTCATAAAATTTTAAAGCCTCTCACTCAACAAACCAGCTGTTCCAGGATAGGACCAGTGCTATAAATAAATAAAATTCAATAAATTAAGTAATTACATAAATAAATAAGTGTGTGTTATAATACATATGTGTGTGTATATATATATATATATATATGTATTTTTCCAAAACAGCTACATCCCTCATATACATCAGTGTAAAAATAATTTTAGCATGAATAGCTAATGCCAACTTTTACTATATGCTTTACAATAGACATTATTCTAATAAAATTCTGTCACACACATGCATTTCATATAAACATACACTATTATTTGAAATTTTGGGTTGGGAAGATGTTTTAAAAGAAGTTGCTGTTGCTCACCAAGACTGCATTTTTTGGTCAAAAATACAATAGTAAAAGCAATATTGTGAAATAATACTACAAATTAAAATACACGTTTTCTACCTTAATATACATTTTTTAAAATGTAATTTTGTTGGCAAAGCTACATTTTCAGAAGCATTACTCCAGTCTACAGTGGCACGTGATTCTTCAGAAATTATTCTAATATGTTGATTTACTGCTTAATATTGTTCTGGAAACCGGGATACAAATAATCTAGTTTTTTTTTTAATAGTGTAAAAAGATATTTTAAAAATGGATAACATAAATTACACATATTGTAGAATGAATTAAGAGAACATTTATTTTCATATGTTATCCAAAACTACACTACTACATAAAAATAACAACATAAAAATTATAATAAAATAAAAAATACAATAAAATAAATTACAAAAATATAGATCACATATAGAAGGAATAAAGGAAAAATGCTAACATTTATCCCATTAAAAAATAAAATATATATATATTTTTTGGTGATATTTTAACAGAGCACTGTAAAAATGCACTCATTTACAAAACAACCAACAACAAAAAAAAGTCTCAGCTGATGGTTTGCAGAGGATTTGAGAGTGGAAAATAAAGCACAAGACTGTATTTAAAAGCATGGGCTAGACTAGGCTGTCTCTTCATATGGCAGGAAAAATAATCAACAACCATCAGAGCACAGTTGGTGTGTATGTGTTTGATTGTTTTAGTGGACACTCACCCTGACGCATGGTGTGAAACTCATTATTTACGTCTTAATGCCTCCCGTCTGTGACTAAGTAGGTGTGTGCGAGTTTATGTTTGCGGGTTTGTGCAAGAATCTGTGAAAGATCTTCCGTGTCGGCACCTCCTCAACATACAAACACACATCCCATAAATCTCAACTAATTTTAGCTCAGCGTCTGCCCACAGTTTGCATCAATGCATGAGCTGCTCTGGAAGTCCAGGCTACTTGTCTCTTAGGAATGTCTGGCCTTTGCGCAACAACCACTACAAAGCCACAGAAAGAAAAGGAGAAAAGGGATGGAAAAAAGGACGAATAGACAAAAAAAGGTGAGAGCGCTTTCAGTCGGACAGCTGATGTCAAAGTCTCACTTTGAATCCCGACCGCATGGAAACCAAGGCTACTGACAGCACTGAATTATACAAAACAAAGGCAGAGAAGAGCAGAGATTCACTCTTTCGCGTTTCTTTTTGTGAAAATGTGTTGATGTTTAGGTTTGTGTGTGGTCCAACCAAACAGAACATCTAAATCCAAATAGGCCGTAACAGGATAGCTTTCTCTTTCCTGAAGGAAGAAAAGCTTTTTTCTCTCATTCCAGAGAGTGCTCAACCCATCTGGTCTTGATAGAAAACAACCCCCTTTTGTTTTCAAGGAAGTGCCTTGAATCACTGCAACATGATCAAAGATAGATGTCCATTATTGCTGAACTAGGATGAGCTTACTATTTTAACACAAACCTGAACCATTGGAAACAACAACCTTGGCAAAACTGTTCTCAGATCAGCCCTGACGCCTGACATTCACCGATCTGAAACCTCATGAACCATGTCCTCTCAGGTGAGAAGAATGATGGGGGGGACGTCATAAGTGCTTCCATCCTCTCTCCTATCCCATAATCCCCTCTCCCTCTGTCTGCTTTCACACCAATATCAAAGCCCGCCAAGTATTTTTCCTCAAGTTCCTCTCATTCTTTACTCCTCCTGGAAGAACCAACGTTTACATTCTGGAGATGTTTTCACTGGTGAAAGGAAAGAAAAGCTGGGGAAAGTTTACCTGAGCTTAAATATGTAAGAGAGGTTGATGGATGGTGGCAACATGCCCACACAATCAGTCAGATAGTTGTGTAGGTATTGTCTGTATGGTTCGCTCCTCATATCCAAAGTCCTGATCTCTGTTGTTTTGACTGCTGATGATGTTACATGATCGTACATGTTGTACTTTCTCACACAACCTTGTCTTCAGACACCTAATGAACCTAAAACACAGAAAGAGACGTGTGTGTGATTTAAAGCACAACATATACTTTGTTTATGTTGATATATGTGACCCTGGACCACAAAACCTTAAGTCGCTGGGGTATATTTGTAGCAATAGCCAAAAATACATTGAATGGGTCAAAATTATAGATTTTTCTTTTATGCCAAAAATCATTAGGATATTAAGTAAAGATCATGTTCCATGAAGATATTTTGTAAATGTCCTACTATAAATGTATTAAAACTTAATTTTTGTATAGTAATATACATTGCTAAGAACTTAATTTGGACACCTTTAAAGGCGATTTTCTCGCCTTTTATTTTTTGCACCCTCAGATTCCAGATTTTCAAATAGTTGTATCTCGGCCAAATATTGTCCTATCCTAACAAACCAGGGTCACATATAAGCACGTAATGTTACACACATATAATACACACACACAGGACTGAATATAGACTAAATGTGAACATGCATTTACAGATTTACAAAGAATAAAAAGAATAAAAACAGTGAAATGCAAACTCAAAATATGACACAAATTGGCAATAATTATATATGTTAAATAACGCAAATTTTCTTTGTGTTTAATCCAATTTTATTAACCAATATCTTTGCTTCTGACATTGGATGATTCCATATTAATAAGCAAAAATGACTTTACACAGTTTACATTTGTGTTTAATTTTTTTTATTGTTCAATTTGCCAAAAATATAACTTTTCTATATTAAAAACAAACAAGAAAGCCCAGCCCAGTTGAGAAAAAGTAATGCAGAAGTAATGCAATGCATTAGTTATATTTTAGGAAGCACCAGAATATTGTAATTCATTACTTTTAAAAGTAACTTTCCCCTGTACTGATAACCAGCATATTTAAATTGTGCATGCTCATTTGTAAAGATGTATATTATATTATATTTGCTGTCATCTAATACTCAATAATTTAGTAACTGATTGCTATTATGCACTATGCAATAGTCAATTTGCATGGTGTGATAACTAACTTTCTAATATTTT